ATGCTGAGATTGTCTGGCTGCACTGCGTGACTAAGGACCAAGAGTAAGCAAGGGAAGAAGCTGGGCAGCACAGGTCAGCGTGTTTAAACTTCCTAACAAGCACCCCTCCTGGAGTCTTTACTTGCTGACAAAAGAGAAGCAGAGCCTGCTTTGTTCCTGGAAGACAATTTATCATGTAACCAAGTGTCATGTAATGCCCCAAGGATTTTGAGCTTTCTTTTCCTTATACGAGAAAAAAATTCAGATTGATTATCCCTCATTTTGTATCCTAAATTGTCCACTGTCAAGGCTGCAGTGTAATCCAGAGCTGGTAGAGTACCAGCTGGCTGTTTTAAGAATTCTTCCAGCCTCTTAAAACAAATTTGGCTGTTCTGTACTGCTTGCGCAAATACCACTTGTGACAGTACTATTGTACAAAAAATTAAGTAGAAATTAAGATTTATTTTCGTAGTAGAAGTCTAGCATTCCACAGCAGCAGTTTCACTTGGAGCTTGTTCCTTTCCTCCAAACACGTCAAGAGAATTCAAGTGCTCAACTGATTAGTATTGAAACTGAGTCTTCCATCTAATGAATAAGTTTGCATATTCAATAGACTGCAGGACTCAATGCTTTAAGCGAAAGCACTGTATGTTATTAGACTGTATACAACATCACAATGCAGCAGTATTTTCTAAAAACATACACATGATTTATGGAAAAGCTTCCACAGATTCAACAGTTAGTCTTTTTAGGCCTGGAACAGTTATTGATCTGACAAAGTCTAAATGAGATATTCCCTTTTTTTTCTACCCACCCGCCATTATTTCATCAAAAACGCTCTGGATTTTTTTATTCCGACACTGAGCAGCAGTTATTCAGGTCAAACTTTTTTCTAGCAGACTGTTTTTTTTTTTGCGATACTGTTAATCGCCATAGAATTAACACACTGGACCTAACACAGCAATATTGTTTTTAATTGCATAATGAGTTCCTCATTCTAATATTATTTAAAATGTAACAATAAAAAGGCAACGTACTTATGTCTTTCAACAGCTTTTTTTGTATTCTCATTGTTAAAAGTTGTAAACAACTTTAAGCATACATCTTTAAGCTTTTAACTTAACCAGTCCATCAACATACAAGTAAAAGATTTAACTCGCTCACTGGAAGAAGCGAATTTTCTATACTCTTGTCAGTACAGTAATCTAGATAGACTGATATAAGTCCTGCATGATAAAGATGGGTAGATCAGAGAAAATGATGCTACTAGAAGTGCACCTCGCACTACTGTGGATAAGTTTCCTTTATTGTTAGTAGGACTTTTTACATTACAGATGGAAAATATGACTGTTAAACCATAAAAATTGACAAGAGGATATTGAAGAACGTGTCCTATATCAGATTAAGTTAAGCTAAATCCATTTTTAAAGCTACTTAAGTTTCAAATGAGAAGCATTACTTTAAAGCTAAATGTATAACTCTCTATCACTAATAACCAACACTACTGCAGGAAGAAGCCTAAAGACGAGTACAGGACTGTGACACAATTTGTTGTTTATTTTAAACACTGCCTAAATTGTCTCTGCTGCCTTCTCCAATATAGCATTCTTTTTCATTGCCTACATGGCAACTTGCCGTTATGCCTACAAGGCAACTTGCCGTAAGAAGACCTGCTCACTATGAGATGGGCATAAAGAAGGCCTGGAAAATCTCACAGCTGCAGTCAAAATGCTCACATCTGTTACCCTTCTGTGTGCCGATTCCTGGACAATTTACCTCTGAGTTGTCAATTTTTTCTCAGTTAAACATAAAATTCTTCAGAGGGCACTGACATGTGACAGCAGTTAATAAGCATCTTTAATGAATGAGGGGGAAAAGTGTACCTGGAAACCCTCATCAACAGAATTCACTAAGCAAGGAACCCAGGAATTAAAAAAGACAAAATACAAACATCTAGAGATTTTCACCTACTCTGTCAAAATCCCATCAGCAGTGTCCCTTCCCTCAGGGGTGTCCCAGAACACTCTGGCTGTCAACTTATTGGGCTCTGCGATTTTCTCCTTTACACTCGGGCACTGGATTCTCGGTGGTTCTGTATCTGTTGAAACAAATATCAGAGAAATGGGTACCTATAGATTTGTTACAGCTACTCCTTTTCTTCACAGCTCTCGCACTGTCAGCATACAGTAGGCCCACCTGTACCTGGCCTCCTAAACACCTGAATCCCTCCCAGGTGCAACATGCATTTCTCTCCTTTTCTGCGTGCTTTTGTAAGAAGAGTAAGAGCTGAGAATGATCAATCTCTCTATACAAATACCTAATTAAATGCAGTTATTATAACTTTGCTTACATAGTTCCCAGTTAGAAAGCAATGTTAGCAAATAGGCTGTATTTAGTTTTGGGCTCCAAGGCTAAGACTGCACCCAAGGAGCCTGGGCCTTCTGTTCACCTGCCCTGCCTCTCTTCCTTCACCTGTGCAGTGGTGGTGGTGGTGATTAAGCCCATTTGCAAAGCACACTGAACATAAATCTCTCCTTGCATGTTAATCACTTCTACTAATCACTTCTGCTGTTAACTTTGTTATTTTTCCTCCAGCAATGACAACAAAGAGAAACCAGAAATTTTCTTTTTGGAGAGAGTGGCTACTGTGTTTTTACTGCCTTTGGTAATGAGCTTCTCAAGTAATTCTTACAATGCCTTAAGGGTAATACAGAAAAGAAAAAGCAGACCAGGTGAATGATGAAGCTTGATCAGCTGCCACCAGCACACTGTCACTATTATTCAGGAATATGAGAACAGTGGTAAAGATAAAAGACATTGATAGAGGATAAAGGTGATGCACAGCTGCTCTTCTTCATCCAGTCTCATTACCAGTCCTGCCAGGATAACAGAAATATGTGGGGGAACCACGCCCAAATACCATCACGATCACTCGATACAAAAACTGCCTTTAATAGCTTAGTCTCAGGGGTTTGACTGCCTCTCGGATTATGCCCAAAATGAAGGACTCCTTGTCTAAATCCAAGGAGTCACATGCTAGCTTTAAAAAATAAACAGAGACAGATTACTCTTTACCTGTAAATAGAAGACAGTCCCTAAAATGCTGCTTAAATTTAAAGGGAAGCAGGCACAGAAAACACAATCTGGTTTTATTTGGAAGAAATAGTAATGAGAAAAGGGTTAGGTCTTTAAAAAGCATCAAATATATAAAATACTGTTTCAGACCCTCACATTCTTCAAGCAGCAATATGCAATGTTTTGTACCAGTTTAACTGGCCAAGTATAGCCCTGATACAGCCACTTCAAACTTTTAACGGTATTCTAAGAACTTGGGATCCTCAGAAACTGGCTTCCTTGTGTTTCTTCCATAAGAGCATGTCTTCAACTCTAAGCACAATGGCTTTCTGAGACATTTCCATAGAAAGCTCCTGTCTTAACTCTACACAGAAGGGAGTGGGGGAGGAGGGACTTGCACATAAGTGACATAACGAAGTTACTCACAACAGCAATATTGCAAACAAACAGCCTTTCACAAATGCTTGTTTTTGTGGTTTTTATAAATAAATAAGTAAGCATATCCTCCTACAATACTGGTAGGCTAACTGTTCTTTTGGTTTCTTTGTAGATCCTACTAGAAAGTAAAGCTCTTAGGAGTTCACGCTGCAGCTAGTGGAGCAATCAAAAAAGAACAGCAGAAGCAATCAAAAATGAACAGCAGAATCCTCTAGCTAGCATTTGAAGCATCTTGTACTTTACAAGAACATCCATCACCAACGACGCATAATGCACCTATTTTTTTTTCCCTGTTTCATTTATTTATTTAACTTTTCCACTTTGTGACTTCATTCATTCCTCCCTCATTATCTGCTGTAATATGTGAAAAAGCAGGCTTTTCAAACCTCCACTCCTGCTGCAGGGAACACTTTCTTTCTCTCCTTTCCTCTTCGTGATCCTTACTCACTCCATTATTTTAACAGTACCTTCTCATTACCTGTGGAAACCTGCTCACACTCCAGCCAAAGAGAGCGCTGCTCTTCTCTACAAAATTACATTTCTCTCAATAACCCACTATTGTATTTGAATTAGGGCAAAAACTAAACAAATCTCACCAAATTTACTTCTGTGGCTGGCTAGTTTCCTACAGCTATAGCTCAGCACTTTAGTACTGACAGAACTGTATAAATTAAATAATTAATGACAGAATAAAGGACAAAACAGCATTTAAGAACTCAAATGTTTTAAGCACTTAATTTATCAGCGAAGTCAGAGGACACTGGTTTGTATGAACTAGCATGGGTTTTCACGCCGTAAAGTCAGGCAATGCAGTTACGGTGGGAACCAAATCACCAGGCACCAAGGGGCCAGGCAGCACTTCTAGAAAGACCTAAAAATCCCTGGAAAAGGTATTTCCTTTGGTCCTTTCAGATGCCTTTTAGCATTCAACAAGTACTAAAGGAACCTCATCAGACTAACACCATTTTGAAAAGGGCCAAGAGAACGCAGCTGTCTACCAAAGGGACTCTTTAATTCAGTTGGCCACTAGGACATGTTGAACCAAACAGCTCCAGACCTCGGTTCTTTTTCCTCACAGCCTAGTACAAATTTGCAGCCAAACTGCAGCATATTAGAAGCACCTCGGCCACAGCCTGGAAGAGGGAAGACAGCTCTGAAAAAATAAAATCACTTAAATAAAGAGAAGGTGGCCAGAGAATATCCAAACAACTGATCAAGTGACAAAACTGAAAAACAAAACCCCCCAAATCTTCAGCTCAACATAAGAAGTGAGAGAGGTCCCTGCTTGGAGGATGGAAGACTAGATTGGTTCAAAACCAAACTCCAGCAGAGGAAGCTACAAGACGGCTGGTGGGAGGATTTACCAGAGGGGGAAAGGAAGATCATACAAGCACTGGGGTCTCAGATGCTCTCACTTCACATACATCGCTGGCGAGATTTGAAGCCAGGCCACTCTGCAAGGTGGCCTAACCGTGTATATCTACTCTGTGCTTTTACTACAGCAGCACTGCTGAAAGGCAAATGAAAATGCAAACTGATTTATTTAAGCTATTTAGCAAGGCAATGTATTAAATGGGTGAATCTTGTCTGCTAGGGCAGGAAGACTGAGTTTTAATGAAAATTTTTGAGCTGCTCAGCCATAATTTCCTTGCATTCTTGTAAGTTTTAGCTTTCCTTGGCTACTCAGCAGCAGTAACTGGTACTTTGCTCCACACTTGGAAGTGGCATTGCAGGAATGGCAGTGTTACATCAGGTCAGCAGTAGAATACTAAATTTTAAAGCAGCCTTTTGAACGTTGTGGAGGAAAACGCCAAGTTTTCAAATACCTCGTAGATTTTTTTAAAACACTTCTGGCACTGACCCCGTTAACAACATCAACAACAAAATTTAAAAAGCTTGTTGACTCTCTTTCTCATAGTTTGTTAAAGGTTGAGGTTTATTTGCTTGTGAGCTTGGGATGATGAGGGGGCACACTGGCGAAAAAAGAGAGGGATGGTATTGAATGTTGAATGCCTATTCAAGAATGCAAATGGGGTAGGTAAACAATCTGCTGTTAAATAAAACCCTGTTATTACTGATTGCTGATGACATTAAACAATGGCTGGAAGTTAATTCAAAACATCTCTTTGGTGCCAAAAGCATACAGAGATCAAGAGAATCAACTGACTGGAAATCATAAAAGGGTGACTGAAAAACACTGCTCTGTTCCCTCTGCTGCCTCCACAAGGCACTGCTCTGTATTTTGAAACATCCATTATCAGGGCCTGTACAATTAATGATTCACAGTGCAAAGCCTGTTTCAGGCAGACATAGCTGGAAGCTGTTCGTTAAACTACCTATCAATACAATCTTCCTAGGATGTGACAAAAAGGGTGAGTTAGGGTGGTGACAGCCATTTACCACAACCTCTGTTATATATCAGCTGGGAAATGAAACCTTTTCAGAAGAAAAAACAGTTGAAGTCTTTCAATCTTCTATAGGAAAATACCTATTTCAATCTATGTTACAGTGAATTAAGGATATAATGAAAATATTATTCAAGTGCGTATTGGCATTTTTAGCTAACTGATAACTGATACTGGCTCTACACTGGGTTTTTTAAATCAGTTATTTCAGTGACATGAAGGATGTCCTTCCTCTAATGTCAGGCTGCTTCTTACCACAGAATACTCACAGTCTGTAACGTCTTCCTTAAGTGACTGCTAAAGCACACCTTATTTTCTTGAAAAAATATTAATATTTTTTTCCTCCTTTTAATGAATACCTGGTTTCAGCAATATTTGCTTGATGCATTTCCTACATGGATCGTCAGTATTGCGCTGTGAGCACTGTTTTGTGTGAAAATGCTAAGCAGTGCAAGGGCAGTACCAAAGGGTGGAGGGAAGTCCCATGTTTCTAAGAGGGCTATAAATATAGGTCTCTGGTAATTTTGCCATACTTGATGCTAATAGCTATTGCATCCCCAGGTTACTTCCCTACCTTTTCCCAATATGAACCTTACCTGCCCAAGCCTATGATCACACGTAACATCCCTACTGGGCACAGTGCTACTAATTGCTTATATGTAAAAGTAACAACTTCTTTGCCTCTCTTTATTCATCTTTTTTATTTAATCTTTCTATTTCATCACTCTCCTCACTTTGATTTTACTCCACAGCTGAAAATGAGGAAGAACCTCTGAAGAACCGAGGCTCAGCCAGTTCTCTTCTGGCCAGTGGTAAGTTTTCATAGGCTGCGGTTCACCAACAGCTTTTCTGTATTAGTGAGTTACGGTAAGGGACGCGTATTCAATTGCAAAGTGCATTATACTGTTACAGTCATGCCTGGTAACCAGAAATCCTTATCCTGCCTATCAAGAGGTCAAAAGATAATCTTATTATTAAACATTTTGCCAACTGCATAACTCATGATTTGTATACAAGAACTGTGTATGCACGCAAGGTAGGAAGGGGTCTTCACACTATGTGTTGTTACCAGAACTTAGTAGTCTTACTTTTACTGGGTTACTTGGGACTAGCAATCCAATCCTATGCAGCAACCATCCTGCATTTTTGGAATCAACAAGAAGTTTAAGTGCTATACTAGCCTTTCTTTTTTTGCTTACGACATGTTTGCTTACTCTCTACTCTGCAACACAGCATGATTTGCAACACGCACCCCAACCCTGCAAACAGATGAGGTTCTAGAAGTGCCAAGAAACACAGAGGGACAACAATTTATCATTTCCAAACTGAAAAACGGTTTGTTTTTCTTCCTCCGCCTACGCTACTGAGAAAGATATGGTTTGTATTTGTAAATAAAAACAAGATACCCCACAAACAGTCAGGACCTAAGCAGCAGGAGCATTTACACATTTGCACAACAGTGAGTAACAGGAACACAAAATAAAAAACTTTATGAACGTAAATCCACAATAGAGAGACTCCAAAGCTATTTGCTAACCTAGACTGAGCCACAGGCATTTTGATGCAGACCAAATTATCATACACAAAAAACACTGAGTAGACAAATATTCTGCCACCCACAAATTTAAATTACTGGTAGCCAATTCAGATGGCTAAAGAATACTTTTCTTTGTGGATGGCTGCTGAGACTTCCCAGAAACAAGGGCGGCGGCCGAATCTTCATTATCTGCTGAAATCTCATTAGTATGAAGAAAAGATAAATCTCAATATTTGCTAATCTCCCTCCTGATTTATGGATATAAAAAATTATGCCAGTGGAGATTACCAGGAAACTGCTGAGTACATATTGCAGACTACTGCAGTAATGTGAACTGGGCTGAAATTTAGCTTTCTGTAACCATGTTGGTGACTAGAACCCATGTGTATTCCCTGAATATACTTGGAGACCATTATGCCAAGAAACAAAGACGCCAGACAAAGTGTTTAGCTTCAAACCTGTTTTATCATTAAATTGAGTGGAGCATAGTCTCCAGCACAGACAACGGGCTAGAAAAGCAGCCCAGTAATTACAAACTATAATAGAGTTACCCATGAGACCAGCAGTGGCTATTACAAGCGATGTAAAATACTGATCATTTACACCAGCCTCGTCTTTATTAACCTAGTATTGCTTGGAGCTGATGGCATAAACGCTAGAAAGACAGTTACTTGGGACTCGAAGTACCGAGGGACAGAGCTCTCCCTGTAGCCCTGTGACCACGGCCCCCCCTCCCTGCAGGTGGCAACCCAGTCTTGCAACTGCAGCCTAGTTCTGCGTGGCAACAGGATACAAGGCACACGACCAAAGCACTAGAGAGCAAGCATATCTCCGCTTGATACGTAAACGACTACGACTCAACCATCCTGCCCCAGAAATAAGGAAGCAGCCCAGAGCCCTTTGAGCTCTGCTGCACGGCAGCGGGCTGCACAGCAGGATCTCCCCTTGACCTGGGACGCCTCTCAAGGTTACTCCTGGAGGTCGAGAGATCCCTTACCTGCCACAGCTTTGGGTAAGTGACAAAAGGGGAGGGAAACATAGCTAAATCTTCCCCTCGGGTAAACAAATTCAAGTAAATGTGCACATCACCCTTAGTTATAAACCACCGACCAAGTCTGAGACTACCACCAGACCCAGCTGCACCCAGATTCCCCCGAGGGGAGTTTGGAAAGCATGGGAGTTTGGTCGGGACCTCGTGACTCAATGGGAGGGTCTCTTTGACCATCTCGTCTCACCCTGCCCTCTATGCAGAAGGTAACAGAGTGAACCCTGCCATCAAACCTTGTTAAGCCATAGTCTTGTTTACTACTGAGCTCCGTTAAACCATTGCCTTATATCAATAAACGATATTGCTGTTTCTACTTTCCGAGTGAAGCGTATCACCCCTCACTCATCTGTGACGAGCCCTTGGCAAACTGCTCTCCGCTTCCCCAGTAGAGACAGCTGTTTTTTTCCCCATGAACTGGCTAAAAGAGCCACAATTCGAATTGATGTGGAGCATCTGGACACCAGCGGATACGGGGAGTCTTTAAGATTTCACCTTCCCAGGGTGCAGACGGATCATGGTACTTACCAACGCAGGAAGCTGGCCGGCCACTCCAGACTTTGTTGTCCATGCACGTCACTATACGGTCGCCTTTCAGCTGGTACCCTGGCGAACAGTAGTATTCACACCTGGAGCCAAAGTAAGCACCATCTAAACACTTGAACCCTCCATTGGTTGGCATGGACAGGGTCGGGCAGCGCTTTTCTGGAACAGACAACAAATATTTCTGGAAACTTGTTATCCCCCTTTAGAGGGATGCTGCACAGAAATAAAGATGCAGCTAGCACTG